GCGCTACTCAGGGATCACTTTGGCCAGTGTGCTGTGGAAGAGCTACGTTGCGCTACTCAGGGATCACTTTGGCCAATGTGCTGTGGAAGAGCTAAGTTGGGCTACTCAGGGATCACTTTGGCCAGTGTGCTGTGGAAGAGCTAAGTTGCGCTACTCAGGGGTCACTTTGGCCAGTGTGCTGTGGAAGAGCTAAGTTGGGCTACCGGGCGTACTGAAGTCCAAAGTTCTAAAAATCTAACAACCCCACAGTCCTACGGGTGGGGAAAAACCATGGGCGCTCTCACACGCCAAGGAGGTATTAATCCTTTGGACTCCAATTGCGCCTTTAGTGAGCCTCGGCATCCTTGCAGCTGCGGTCGCGAACCTGGTGATGTTTCACGTGGGCCTGCGTATTTACAAGGTGGAACTTCCGGATGCAATGAGCCAGGCTTCTTTGTCAGCATCATACTTACGGTTAACACTGGGTGTGGGATCTTTGTTTCAGCTGTGGCATGCATTTAGCACCAAGATGTTTGGACGCTATGTGTTGCTGGCCTTTCATCTTGTGATCATGGGTCCTTGGGCTAATGCCTTTCTGCCGATCAACATGGTCTGCCGATTTTGGACCTCTGATGCGGCAGATGCGCCAGAAGTGATCGAATTATCAAGGATGGACAGCGGGGCCTGAGATGGCTCGCAAGCATGCTCGCCATCGAGAATGACGAACTCTAGGGGCTTCCAAGACCTTCTGGACTTCTCACCTGCCTGGACATTCCGACCGGCCGACCTGCGAGCCAGGAGGAAGCAGGTCGATGGGAGGAGGTGAAGCAGTGTCACCACACCATCCACACCAGAGGGCGCCCCCACAGACCTTGGATAAAGCTTTGTCACCGCAAAGTGAAGTCATCCATTGAGAATCCGATGGCTGCGAACAATCCAAAGTAGCCCAAAGGCAGGCCGATTCAGTGGTGATTACACTTGACCATGGCAGGGGGACTCATTGGCTTTGCAGTTTCTGATTCCGTCACCTTGGAGATCATGCCTTCAAGGCCGTCTTTGCGGCAATTTGATGCCACTGACTTGACCACATTATACCGTATACCACAGAAGATCTTTCTCGCAACCCCCTGATCTGGTAAACCAGATCAATCGAGATCCTAGACTCAAAAAGAGTCTGTCAAAGCTTCTGTAAAGCAACGTCAGGGGTCGGGTGAAGCCCACAAGTTTGCGGGTCATGGATTATTGCACAGTCCCCTTCACTTAATCTGGACATTCCAGGTTGCCCATGTTGAGGTTATGCAAATCCATCTCTGGTCTCAGGTATTTTGAGCAAAGCCATGACACATTTACCAGGGAGTGCAGTCATGCTGATATCTACCAAGTGCTTGGTTGTGTCCATCTGATCAGGCAGGTCACATACACTCTGACTCACTAACATGGAAGTGGAAAGTGATCCCTTGGAAGCCTGCCTTCCTCTGCGAACAGAGGGTTTTCTACTTCCATGTAATGTTAGTGAATCGGAGTGTACCCACTCCCCTTTCCCAGACACTCCATGGGACTGCCATATATGCCTACATTGACCCCCAAAGCCACCCCAACTGATCGGCAGTCCTATGGCAGTCCCTTGGAGTGTCTGGGTTTGAGGCATCTGATCAGGCGAGCGAAGCCGTCCAATCGAGGAGCTCAAGAGCGAAGCCGCCATCGCCAAGCACGTCATCGCTTGCTCCACCGCCCTAGCACCTCAGCTACCGACTCGACCGTCGGAGTACCGGGAGAGATTGGGCAGTGAAGGCGTTGCTTCTCGTTGGTCTAACTCGGTCCGGTGGACCTGCAGGTGGAAGTTTCAGATGTTGGTGATGGTTTAATGTTGTTGTTGATGGACATATTGACGTTACTTGTTTAAAGAATTGGACTCAGACCAAGATGCGTTGTGCTTTCAGACCGACCGAACAGACCGGGGGACCGTTCTGAGGTCCCGACGCTTCGATTCTGGGTTGACCAGTGAGAGTCGATTCTGAGCGGTCGCAACTAATTCATATCAGAATCGATTCTCTTAGATCAATCTATATCAGAATCACGATAGATTTCATGTAGAATTCGTTTCATATAATGCTTCTGATATAGATTCATGATGTTTTGTATATCATTAGATAAACATGAGTTGTGTGGTGGGTGTTTGGTTGATGTCTCATACTCAAATTCAGTGCTGCTACGGTCACCTCCACTGCCATTCTCCTTGTGTGACAACCCTACTTCCGATAGTCCTCCCATTGATGAAGTGTAACAGGTTGAATGCCTGATATGTCTGGAAAACTGGAAGGGTGGCACCTTTACCTCAGACGAAAGACGAAAGATTCACTGCTTCCGCCCGCCCTGGAGTAAGCGCATGGGTGTATGGCAAGCCCCCACAAAAGCCTATCTCCGAAGCATGTTTGTTTCTCATCGCACTCAGGGAATGAGTCTTATCAGGCATCTCTATGAGGAGGTCATTCCCTCACACAATTCACCCCTTTTCAACCCCCGCCAAATGTAGGTTATATTCCTTAGTCGCACCACTCAGGAAGAAAAACTGTCACAGAGCCGAATGGCAGCTGGCCAGCTGAGGACAAGACCAAGGCCTTTGGTATTGACTCGGACAATGTCTTTGGCTTTTGGGACTGGGTCGGCCACTCGGAAAGCACGTGCCGTGATGTCCTCGATGTGGGAAGAGATTCCAATATCTTTGGGCGGATGAGTTGAGCGTGATGTAGTGAGTAGCAAGTGTCCTTTGAATCACTAAGTTTCAAGCACCAAAGAATGGGTACCAAAAGGATCTTTTGCCGTATGTCAGACATGTCATCAGCTTCAGACATCGCAAACAATCGGGGGAATGTCTGGACAAACGGCTCAATGTCCCCGACAAGCGGCGTCCAAGCGGCTTGGCGTGATCGACTGAACAAGAACCGAAATGGCCCAGCAAATTCCATTGTCGGGAACCAAGAGCACAACCCAGCAGCTGTGCTTCTGTTGATTCATTCCGCTGGATCGCCAGGAGATCCTGAAAAGAGCACATCTGAAACAAGCAAGTTTACCGCGTCGCAACCAACGTCAACGCAGAGGTTCGGACCTCCAGATGCAAAGCTCAACCAACATGTACAGTAGGTTGTTCCGACGGATTTTGAGTTGGGAAGTGCAGTGGGGCAGTGGTATGGCACGAAACAGGTGCCGCACCGTGCCCTCTCCAGATGGCAGGGTCCAGGTCAAAGGACTTGGTGGCTTGGCCTTTTTTGCCATGGCCTGCTCACTAAGGGGGTCGGTTCTCTGTGTGCAGCGCGGTGGGTGTGGTGCCTCTCTCCTTACAGCAGCTCGGAGTTTTTCAGATCGCCGGGTTAGCCGGGCCATGCGATGGGTGGGAGCCAAAACCCAGAGAGTTTGGATGGGATTGTTGGCCACTCATGGCCACTCTGGCTGATCAAAGACTCCATGAACTGTTGCGGAAATCATAAAGGTTTGGCCAATCCAGTGCTATGAATTGCAATCTTGGCGAAAATATGCGAAAATAATTTTGAATTAGTCACTAGTCTTGAGCAGCTGCTGGAGTTGCAGCGGTTGCTTTGCAGGAAGTAGATGTGTACGCTGGGGAAAAGGATCACAGCAACTGTGCGGACCGCCCCAAACGGCTCCAAACACATGTTCTGACAAATTATAGAAGTCTTACCAGAGTCTTACCAAGTCTTACCAGAGTCTTACCAAGTGAAACATGGATACGTACACCGCTCACCGCATCTTGGACAACTAGTTAGTTCTTTCACCTCTCACCGCATCCGGGCGGGGGCCTTAAACCCTCGCTCGGATCAAACAGGTATGGCTTCGATGTGGTGAAGAAGTTCTTGGACGGTGCACGGGCGATGGACTTGCATTTTAAAGATGCGCCCTTGGACCGGACACTGGGGCGATTCGAGCACTGCGGAGGGGGTTTGTTTTTGGGTCGTCTTGGACGTATGTATGGTAGACATGGTAGACGGTTGATTAGCGACCCCCCCCCCTTACGGTTTTACATCCAGACATGTAAGAATCCTTGGGCCCTCCATGGCAGGGGTCGGATCCTCCAAAGCAAGGGTCCGGACCCTCAAAACCAAACCCTATTTGTATGAGGGCCCCGAAAACCAAACGGGTAGAAGAGATTTGGACTCTCCCACGTGGGACTGGCATCTTGCATCGCCACGGATCCAATCACATCTTCAGGGGCAGACCCTGTGGCTTTGGAGAAGCTGTATTGCCCACAAATTCCATATATCGGTTGTTGGACTCGCTTCTAACGACCAACACCTGATTGGGCGACATTGGCAGAGCTGCTTTTCAGCCTGAGGAAGCCCAGAAATACACAGCCAAGCCACTGAATCGCACCAAATCCCATGAACATCCATGAACAACAACTACCCATCTTGAGATTCTCAATTACTTCTCGAAACATTGGCCATTCACAGATGTCATCAATCTTAAACAAGTCACACAACGACACAACTCCCAAATTGGAGACTCCGCTTGCACGTGCTTTCCGTGCCTAAGGAATTTACCCACACTCTTGGGTCTTCTTTCTGTATGGAACGCTTCCTGTATGGGATATGAGGCCTCTGGCATTGGCGGAGTGGGGGTCGTGCAGAAAAAGGAGAGAGAAGAGAGAGAGAGAGAGAGCGCGAGCGCGCGCGTTTGGTTTGAGAGCTGTACAAGTACCATTTCTGTGAGTATCATGGTGGCCAGGAATCTGTTTCCAGAGTTCATGAAAGGGAGACAAAAGTCGAGGCATACTGATACTGGTAGGAGGTTTCTCCCAACAAGTGACGTTGCCTGGACTATCCAAAGATCTTGAGACATTCGTCCACCCTGGGACCTTGTAGGCGGCTCAGAAAGATCTGACCATCTCACACGAGACCTAACGTCTTCCGGTCAAAACCTAACAATCACCACCTGAGTTACATGCCCAGACACTCCACGGGACTGGAATATGTATACATTGACCCCTCTTCAACCACACTAATGATAGGTAGATATGCCAGTCCCATGGAGGGTCTGGGAATGTTGAGGGTCTGGGAATGTTTGGGATGGGAATCTCATATGTCAGATGTTGCCAGAAAAGAAGACCCAAAGAACCTGTACTATCTCCGATAGCCTGTCTCTTCTTTTGGTCGTTGGTGATTTGTTTGGGAAGGTTGACCACTTTGGGCATCCAAACATGCTGTCGAGACAAGGGGGGCTCACAGAAAATCTATAGAGCTAGCATGACCTAGCAATATTTGAGCCGGCAAAATATATTGGAACCATTTGGGAAGGGTTCAGCCTTTAGGTGTCACACTCAGAGTGAATCCTTCCTCCACTGACCTGTCACTGATCCTGTTGATCAAGGTTGGGTGTGTAATGATGCGCAGGTGTGCCTCGGATGTGTTGTGTTTTTGTTTGAATTGTCTCAGCCCCCCCAAAGTGGGCTATAGTCTGGTTTTACCACAAGGCCATGTGGTCTCCGCATGACCTCCGCATGGTCTCCGGCGACGGGTTCATTTTCGGCGCCGACTTGTCGCAGCGTTTTCGGGCCTCGGCAGGGCTGCGCCGTGCTCCCGTATTGCCAGGCGAATCTCTCTTTGAGCCGCCGGTTTTGTCTGGTTGTCGAGAGGAAACCGCCGTGATGAACTCAGTAAAAAAGATCCTGTTGTCCATGGGGGTTCTATTAGAACATGGGAATGCTTTCACTTGGCAACCTCAACTGCCAACAGAACATAACTTTTCTCCACGTTTCTGTCGGAAAATATTCACATTCGTGCGCTTGTGCAACTCATTTCGACATATTGTGAAATAATATACCCCTTATACATCCCGGATCTTGTTATTTGTTGTGAATGCGGTTAAACTCCCCTGTGTGGAGTGTCTACCCTGGAGTTTCTTTGGTCCTTTTGCGAGCCATCTCGTGTGCAAGGCTAGACACGGCCCTCTTGCAGGATCCACCCTGTCAAGACCAACATGGTGACATGGTGGCAGGATGTAGCAGGTGAGATCTACCAATGCGTTGCACGACTACGACCGATTTGACGGCCGAAGAGGGCCAAGCATTTGCAGAGGGTTCCATTTTTTCGTGCGTAACTGACTAAGCTCTCAGTTGTGCATCTGATCCACGTTCCACGTCAAAGGGGTGCTGAAAAAATCTAGGTGTTGAGACGCACCACTGCTTGATTTCCTTTGTTCCTTCTCTTTAAAGCAAACCATCATGCAGATGGCAAACATGCCGCATGCCGGTGCCGTGATGATGTAGTGACCTTTAAGGGATGTGCCGTGCCCATCAAGGGGCATCCGTCCGATGGCAGGCGTTGGTGCGCTTTGTCGCCCACATTCAGCAGTTGGACATGGAGAGCAACGGCAGCTCGTCGCGGGTTATCCGGCGTTAGCATGCGTAAATTCAGCGATGCCATGGATCATCAATATAGATCCATGTGGCTTTGTATGGTTTTGTTTTTTACATGCGTAAATAGAACATCCAGAATCCATTGGAAACCGATCTTTTGGACATGTTCCCTTTTGGTGTGCTTCACCTAGGCGATGAGATTTTTCTTGTCCTCACCTGTTCCCCTTTGGGTCCAGGAGAGAGAGCTGAGGATGATATATCACTGTTAGTTTGGTGCAGAAGCATTGGGCAAGCGTTGATTTGTGAATTTATAGGGTCTTTAACTGCATGCATTTGAATGATTTCATTCACCCTGTGCCTGAGATTTTTTGTTGAATCATGTTGAATCCCAACACCCTATCATGTTCGATTTCACCAACCGGCGAACTCCCTTGACACATGTGGTCCACTGAGGCAAGCGAGTTCAAATGGACGGCAAAGAGTGCACCGTACCATGAATGCACCATAAGCTGTTCAATGAAGTTCAGTCGGATTTTATCGCTCAAGTTGTCCAGTTGCTTTGGGAAGATCTCATCGTTTTCTTTGCCAAAGTAGATCCAAACAACTTGGATGCAGCTCTCGTTGAGACGCCGCAACCAATGGGGCTTTGGTCCGAAACACATGAGCTTTGTACCAGGTGTCTTTGAGGTCACCCCACGACCGCTCTGCTCTCGCGCCCGTGGACACTCCCGTTGGCCTCGACCAGATTCCGACGGGCGCCATCTATTTCGGTGAGCCGGGCACCAATGGACAACACTCCTTCTACCAGCTGATGCATCAAGGCCGATGCTGGGGTGTTGTTTCACACGGCAACGTGAAACATCGTGGGGCGAGCGGTTTCGTACGGATTGGTTGTAAGTAGCCTGAGAACTCGGGGTGTGCTGTCCAAAGCTGTTGAGAAGAAAAGAGGGTGTTTTAATGATGCAAACATTTGTGTTGTGTGTGTGTGTGTGTTTGTTGAATAGGGATGAACATGTTTCAACACATTCCTAATATTCATGAAGCTGCACACGGGTCTGTCTCTTGAGCTCGCTACTCATGCAAAGGTTTTTCGGATGTCCACTTCACCGTTGCCCAGCAAACACTGAGTCAACTACCGGAGGGGCTAAAGCAAAGATAGAATAAAACTCAGTATTTTTTCGGGTCAAGGCGAAGCCTGCAAGAATCAGGCTCATGAACCATGGCCAAAGCAGCCGAAACGAGGGCACATACCAGACCCAAACAGAAGAAATCAGATGAATGTCACCGAAACCAGACAGGAAGCTGAAACCAAAGTTCTGAAGTAGGGAGCTCCTTTTAGTAATCGATAGATCATGATAGATCCGTCCGTAGCCCGCAAGCCTTTAGAACAGAGTCATAGCACCAACATGACGCACTGCTTCGTGAAAAGTGTGACACCCACCAGCTCCACGTTACTGCTCCGAGTGTTTACAATCCAGGAACACTAGCATTCAGGGCACTTTTGAACCCAAGGCTCTTGATGTTTTTGGGGATTTTGTTGATACTTTGAAGAAAACAAGAGCCCGAACTCCGGTTGGAGATGTATTCTGTAGTTATTTGATGTTATTTGTGGCATGAAAAAACAACTCCTCAGGCCTCAGGCCGGTCAAAGTGGTGGACATTCGTGGACGGTTTTGTGTGAACCCCGTTTCAGTCGCTGTGCTCAACTTCTCCACGTCACACGTCGTCAGGGCGCGTGATTCCAGCGGACTTCATCGGCTTCAAGGTGTCCCAGAATCCCATCAGACGCTTGGAACGGCCCAATTTTTTTAAGCCCGGGACGCGGTCGGATGCTGCCAAGCAGATATGCAAGCTTCCATGTATTCTTACAAAACATCGTGGGTGTGCTGCCCTGCAAGGAACTCTGACAGGTTTCTCCTGATTAGCACATGAGCATCCCCATATGACACGACATATTAAAGCAGGGAGATGAGATGCAGATGTGATGCTCAGGTAGCAGGTATCCAACGGACCCACATGGCCAAGACATAGTTTGGAATAGTGAAATGCCTTTGACCTAGGGGTAGGCAAAGTAGGAGGTTTTTATCGTCACCTTCAGCTGGACACGACACAACCAGTAGTGATTTACTTGTTTCAGAAACCTCTCCGCACATTCTCAGTGGTGGAGTTTCCTAGTTCCGCCTCCTGCCCTCTCAGCAAATACTCTCCGAAAAAGGCTGGAACTTGAAGAGATGCTGAAAAAGGTCCATGCTAAACTGCAGAACCGGTTCAACGGAAAGTGCTGCAGAACCAAATAGGACTTCCAAATTCTCCACATCAAAAAGCCCAGCTGCTGTCCTCCCTCAACCTGCACAACCTGCTATATCCTCCTGCGCCCACTGGTTTATCCTGCGCCCACGCCCTTGAGGCTTGGATGGTGAGCCCGTCTCCAATCATGATGAGCTCATGTCCAACTTCTTCGCGCAACCAGATGCCTTGGCCCTGGGCAAGACCGCCGAGGAGCTCAAGGCATCGTCACGGTATGCCACGGTGACACGGGATATGACTGGACCTGGCAAGGGACGTCCCGCTTCGGCTTTTGGGGGACTGGGTTGGAGAAGGGCCTGAACGACGTTCACAGAAATGCCCGCTGGTCGCGCATTCCCAGAATGGAAACCATATATGAAACAATATGCAGTATACCACATGTTGTGAGGCGCATTTTTATGAGCTGCCCATAGCTGCCCTGTTGTGGCGAGGCCTGGTCTCGGCCCGGCCTTTTTCAGGCTGAGAAGGTGCCGGAGAACTTGGTCCCGTCTCTCGGCGCGAGGAGTTCCGAGTTCCTCGCGGTGCCTGGCGATGACTGGGGCAGAATGGACCCAGTCAGTGGACCGAGCTGGTCGTGCGAAATGGGGTTCCCAGCCGCACTCCAGGTAGACATTTTGGGGATGATGTGTGGAAACCTGGATTTTATCAGTAATATTCATAATAGAACAAATTGGGACCATATTGATATTGCAACAACTAGTGGGGATACTCTGATTTTCCAGGGAAGCCGAGAGTCAGTTGACCTTATGAAATATCCCCTGTACAGCCGACTGCCCCACCTCTTTGGGCCTTTTGAGACCCGATGCGAATTCGTCGCAGCTGGTTGTTACTAGTAGTAATGCCCTTTGCTCCTACTATAGCTTCTTGCTCCGTTCGTAGTAAGGCCAGGAGCCCCTAGTAGTGTCCTTGCTCCTAGTAGCGATGCCAGCAGCCCCTAGTAGCATCCTTGTTAGAAGAATCTTCCGCGCATCGTGCATCATGGAATTCCATGAAAGTCTCAAGATCGAGTCCTTTGGAAAAGAAAGTCCGCCCCCTCCGTTCTCGGTTCAGTGCTTAGGGTGAGAGCCTCCTGTGTCTTTGTCCCTCATAAGACTGTCATTGGAGCCCTCAAAGATACACCTCCCCGGCCCATGTAGTTGAACTATATTGATATATTTATCAAGGAGAGCTAAGTATTTAGACATGTTCAACGAATCAACCTATTAAAAACTATAGTTAATGGATGTTAATTGCATAATGTCAACAATTAAGGAAGCTACTAGGGGCTCCTGGCCATACTAGGAGCAGGGACGCTACGAACGGAAGAACCCCTACTGTTACCACACTGTTTGGGAAACATGCGCCATCGGCCGCCTGTCCAGGCACAAGGTGTTCACCGGAGATCGACCGTCCAATTCGCTGCTGCTGCCCATCTGTGATCCGCACCTTGGGATCAACTTCGGCGGAGATGGGAGGGTTGGATGATGGATGTGGAGGTTGGGATAAAGGAAGATGAAGGGACGGTTGGATGATGTCCAAGTCTGAAGGGAGCTACTGGCTTGGAGGTGGAGGTTGATGGAAAATGAGGGAACATACGGACAGCATTGACAGTGTACGTGTGTCTTTTTCCTGATGCTAAGGAGATTCCCAGAATGAATCCACCCAGTAAATTGGGAGGGTTGGCCATTTGTATGTTAGTCTTGGCACAAGGACATTCACGGATGAAGGAGATCTCCAACAGAAAACAAGTTACCAATTCATTGCCCCTTCCTTTTGGTCTTGAAGATGGTTTGTGGTGCCTTCCAACAAATAGATCACTTGTGGGAGCAGAAAAAACAAAAACAACTATTTCAAGTCTGCAGAAGGGTCTGGAGAAGCCACACTTGCTGACTTCAAGTCTGACTTGCCTTTCCCAAACCTGGCCAAAACTAGGACATGGCGATTGGGGAAAGTTTCCGAAGAGGGCAGAAGAGGATTCTGTTCATCTTGAAACTGTAGTCAATGTTGTTTGCTGTTTAACAGGCATGTCTTTTTCACCGGACCAAGGGTCCAAAACAGCAGACGACGGCAACTGATTCCTCAAAACACGCCAGCACGAGCTTCCTGGTCCCCTCCAAGTATCTTGTGCCAAGAGGGTTGAGATAAAGGAGAGCACTATATGTATAAATATGTATATGTATGTATTGGAGATCACCAGGGGTCACGACGATCGAAGGTGTCCCCATGTGTCACCAATGAATATTGATATAGGGTGTGAACCGTACATGCAGACCAGTAAAGGTCCACACAAAAATGATCACTATGTGCGAGGAAGGAATGCAACTGAAACATCATCATCCACCGGCACTGATAATGGGATATACCCTAGATATACTCAACACACTTATTATGATCTTGTATTGGACATCGCTGGATGGTTTTGGTTTTAATGCCGAGTAACGCCCATTGACACTCAGAGTGAACGTTGTGAAGGTGGTTTCTAGCTGCCATCGGCGCACAAAGCCCTGATCAGCGCCACTCAAGAACCTGTTAATTTGGAGATGGGATGGTCCGTGATGGTCCTGTTTCCGTCCAATTTTCTGAGGTACAATCTCGGGCTTTTGTTGTCCCTCTACGAGCACCGTACTGCAGTGCAAGGATGGGTGTGGAACCTCAGATTCAGCGGCGAAGAACACCACGGCCACGACAAAAAAGACAAGGATCAGATCATCAGATCAAGATCAGATCATGGAGAAAAGCGAGGCCAAAAGCACTCAGAGGATCTCAGAGACTCTTAAAACATGTCAAAACACTCGAAGAGATGCTCAATTCAAGCCAATTCGTTGCACCTCTTCTGTGGGGAACACAACCACCAGGTGCGGCCCACCAGGTGCGGCCCGAAAATGCTTCGTGCTTTGGACCTCCCCCCAAAAAAGGTCAACACCACGCCACACCCCTCCGCCGTCGGGCGGACGACCCACCGATCCCACCGAGGTGTGGAATGTGAACAGTTTCGATCAATGGGGCGTGGAGCTGGGGAAGGTCTTGGGAGTGAAGGAGTCTCGGACCGCACGACGCCGTGGCAGAGTTGTGGCGTAGTTGACCCAGGGGACTGAGCACTTCTGTTCGGCCAGTGTACCTAATTTATCCTAATTTGGAATGTTTGGGTTTGGCTGATCGGAGGGCTTTCGTTGGTCTGAGAGAGAGAGAGGGAGAGAGAGAGACAGACCACCTTGGCTTGGGGAATTCCCTACTGGGGAACGCTTGAATTCCCTCAGTGTTCGCAGCTACACTTTATGACTTGACATGGGTCCATGGGTTTTACCAAACTTATACTCGGCGTAAAAAAAAAAACTCTATATAGACTATAGACATGTTTTACATTTTCTGCATCCAGGCATCCAGGACAGAGTTTCTGTCAGTCTGAGGTCCGAAAGTTCCTCTCCACCGCTCGTTCAGGCAGGGTGGGGGGTCCGGTGCCGCGGCGAATGAAACCACTGGGACCGGTGTGTTCGGACGCGAAGGCGAACGAAAACAGATCACCACAAACCAAAGGGTCTGCATGTGTCCGTGTTCAGGTCCAGCTCCAGGACTGGCAAGGACCCTGGATTTGGGTGGGGGTGGGAGGAACTTGAAGCAGTGCGACGGGTCTGTTTTCCCGTCTTTTGGGCAAGAAAAAACAAACACCCACCTCTACCAGCATCCCTCACTGCCTACCTGGGCATGGGCCCACTCGAGGAGCAAGAGTAGACATAGCAGTGAGGATGCCTTGAACGAAGGAAAAGAAGAGTTTGAAGAGCAGCCTCCCCAAATGGCCTAGCCTTCCGGGACTGGCCCTGTTAGAGAAGAAGTCCCCAATGTTGCCAGTCTTGTGTTTTTCTACTTCCAAGATTGGCCATTACTAGTGGAACAAGAAGCTACGTACTAGGTTGAGGCCATCGCTATGCTCGGTTGGAGGCCATTAATTACTAGCAAGAAGCTAGTGGGTGGAGGACATCGCTATTAGGTTGGAGGCCATTAGTTACTACTATAGGAACAACAACGCTACGAACGTAACCAGTGGAATGAAGTCTTTTGTGTCCAGGTGGCGGAGATATGTCAGGCTTCCAGAAGCCGACGCAGTGATTTGGCCTGCTCGTGGTTGGTGTGTGTGTGTGTGTCGTGATGGTGGGTGGGAGCGAGCATATGATTGGCCCTGTGACAGACTGGCAAGAGATGTGTTCAGTGCTTGGCCAGGCCATTTCCGGATGAAGATTCATGCTTTCTGGGGTAAGGGACTCACAGACCGTAGACATTTGTAGACACGAGGTACTCCCACAAAGTCTGGTCTAGAGTCTATAGTCGGTACTGAGCAAGGACACCTTTTTTGCCTTCTCTTCGTCACTCCACTAGTTGCTCCAGTGAACTCACAGTCTACTCAAAAAATGGGCACCAGGACCTTCAAAGTGACCTTTTGAGATCCCAAGATGAGGTCACTTAGGCCTGTTAAAGGTCACAAACAGAGACGGTCGCTTTGACGGGTGCACTTGACCGTGGCTTTGGCTTTGGGGGATCCACTCCATAGGGCTGTTCGGTGGTGGCACCACCCTTAAGGGTCGCACCACATCGGAACTGGTTCTTCTGCGGTCGCATTTGATGAAAGTCCTCCAGCTCTTGATGGTTGGTGACTCCGTCTCCATCTGGAGGAGATGTTCGCTGAAAGAAACTGGAGGTGTTCAACTTCCGATCCACGTCCGGCCAAGCAAAACCGTGGACACGGCCACGATCTCAGGAAGCTGATGAGTGCCATGCTGAGCACACCTTCTGGAGCTAGTGACAGGCCTCAACAATTAAGCTGGAGTGGAGTGGTCCTTTGGGTCTCGAAATGTTATACATATTGTGTATAAAACATGTTGTATATATGAGTATAAATCTATATATAAATTTATATATGTAAAATCCTTCTGGATATGTTTAAACGCATGCTGGCTGCTGGTTGTTCTTTCGCATTCTATCACCCGATTTGCTGCTGAACTGGTGTCCTTCGAAATATCGTTGGAGCCAATGCTCAATTCACATCCTCTGCAAGGGCTTGGACTTTGTCCCTGTGGACACTGACCCTAGCTCACGCTGCACACGTTCTTCCACCGTTCCAGTTGTCCAGACAACCTCAACGTCCAACAAAAAAGACGAAAGGCATCGAAAGGCGAGGAACAAAAATCTTCCAAGACACCGGTTTCCAGGGAGAAACGCTGCTTCCAGCCTCTTCATGCCTCTTGCAAACTTCCCAGCCAGTAGCTCGGCGTTCGAAAAAGGCCTCGAGGCGAAGACGATCCATGTATGGAATAGTTGCTTGCATTAGTATTAGGGTCATAAATGTGTGTTTTTTGTAGTATGCCATATATATATAATATTATAATATACTATGTGACTTTGTGTAGCTATTCAACATGGATTTTGGGGGGTTCACTTTGAAGAACCCAGGGACCCATGACCTTTCAACCGTCCTTGAGATCCGATCAATGTCTACTGGGGTGATTCCAGATGTTTACTGGTTAATTCCAGTCCCAAGTATAAAAAAGGTGTTCAACGTATGTAAATTTCAACCAAAAGGCAACTGGACTCTACTGGTCAATATGTCACTGCTATTGGTCTTACTCTACTGGACTCCGGTGTCGCGACTCCGGTCGACCAGTCGGTCGCAAAAATGACTCGGTGACTGGTCGGTCGCAAACCTCATGGACAGTGGTTTTGCATCACCGGACCCAGTCAAATGAGGTCCGTAAGAACTGTAAGGTATCCTCAAATATGCGGTTTTAACATGGTGAACAACCAAATCCTCCACCGGAAGAACCCCTGAAATGATGATCCCTCGATGTGTTTTGGTCCAACCGAACCTCCAATTGACACGACCTCTCTGTCCCCTTCGGTTCTTGTTCCGGTCTCTTGCTCCGTTGTCTCTTGCTCACCGCGTATTTCGTGTGGAGCCGCTGGCGGCCCGAAGGGTGACTCCTCCAGGATTGTGATGCTGAAGGCGCGCGAGATCTTTGATTCACGTGGCAATCCCACCGTCGAGGTGGGGCACGATGCATGACCGCGTTCGGTGGTGCAAGAGCGTGTGTGAATCGTGAGCTTCCATGGCATGGGCACGATGCATAGCTGGTGTACCCATCCTCAGTTGTGGTCGTCAGGAGAGTTCGGCCATTGACGAGTTTTTGGTTGGTGTTGATCGCAAAGGTCTGGACGGCCGTCAACGGCCAGCAAGTGGCCGTGCATGGTGAATGTTCAGGCATGTTGCGATGCCCATCCCCCAGTTTTTACGAGTTGTTATGCGTGACAAAGACATACCAAGACGAAAAGACAAACATGTTCAGGGATTGATCCTGATTTCACACACAATTGGGAGTCAAAACTCATCAGAGACGACACACAGATACACAAACCATCACAAATCACAAGCTCCAAAGAATGACATGGATGCACCTTTGTCCATCTTGTTTGGACATGTTTGGAGTGTTTTCATCCCCGGCTTGGGAGAGAGTTGTTTGGTTGCCCAAATTTAAAGGCAAGTTGTCGGGACAAGCTCGTGAGTGAGTTTGTTTTGTAAGGAAATGCACAAGAAAAAATACAAAGGAGCCACAAACGGAATCAAGAAAACGTACCATTCGCACATGCCAGTTCGGTTCGTGGTGGTATACCGGGCCTCAGAAGGGCCTCAGTTTCTGGATCGACCTTTAATCAACATACGTTGCCGAGAGGCAACCAGCGAGCATTGTGGGGTCGAGAGTGCCTCCATGGGGTCTCGAGATCCTGGGCCCTGAAGAGGGCCGCAAAATATCCGATGACCATCTTCGCAGTATATAGCCTCATCCATCAAACCTACATCCGAAATTGCACCCCAACCCAGTCGCGCCTTCTCAGAATGTTTGTGGAATCAATAGTTCTTGAGCAGAAGATTGGCTGATCTCGGATCATAGCCAGTCAAACAAAGAAAGCTGGACAGGTGAAACAAAAACAATACATATATATATGATATAGTAATGATATATAGTAGTATATATGTATACTAATAGTATTATAGATGATAGATGATCATGGGTAGATATGTGTGCCCTGGAATTCCAACATATGCTTAATGGTTTTACCAAGATTAATTGTTTTACTAAGTATCTATTGAAAGAACCATTCCTTGTTCTACCTAGTAAACCTAAAGTATGCAAAAAAATTGTAGTTTCGGAAAAAAAAAACAGTTTTTTTGTTGAAAATGTATTTTTTGTATAACAATTACCTTTTTGGATTTTGGTTACCTTTTGTTACCTTTTGCATACTTACTGCTGTTTGTTTGAGAAATCATGGGACCATTCTGTCTGAGATCTCCAGTCTGGAGTTGTGGGCAAATGAACAGGGCGCCAGTACTTACTTTCTGTACACAAAGGATGTTGCAATCACCAGAGGGCATTTAGATGATACATGATGCCCCCTGAGCACAAATTGCAACTTCCTCGTTTTGCAAAGATTGCTTTGGAGATCCATATCGCCATCGAAACCATTTCAAAGTGGTCGAGCTCTATCTATTTAGTTCATAGTCATGGTTAGAGTGGCCAAAACTTCAAGACGTTGAAAAGCTGCTCTGCCTTTGCCCTCGAAGAACTTCGAAGCGAAGGCCCTGGAAATCGACCGGACAGAAGCCAATTTCACTGAGAGCATGCTGTGTTTGAGATGTGTCAAATTATCCCAACAGCTTGTCATGGAATGCCTTGATTCCATCTTGCCTGAAAGATTCGGATAAGTTGCGGTGATCATTCAAAGCTGAAAAATAGAGAAACGCTTGGGGCAACGGAAAACAAAACCTAGCTCGATCTGCAATCGCTGAGATTTCCATTTTTTTCAGTGGACATTTAAACTTCCATGCAGGAGTGGCCGAAAAACAATTACGGAATTTACCGTCCAAATGACGGAAATCACCGGAAAAATTGCGGAAATTGCCGGACACGGTTTGGATGTTTTGAATGTAAATTTTTTTGCTGTGTCAGGGGCCTCTGGTACGTTGGTACATGCAGGTTTCCTTTGATGTGGCCACGCCTGCTCCTATCAACTCCTTGGTTTCGAGCTGCGCCACTCTGTGTGAGGTGAGGGATTTGAAGGCATGCCCTGCCCGACACATGATGTTGTGCAGCCCCCTGATGAGGAAGACACCCTTCTCCAGCAGTTGCAGGAGCAAAACACAGCTAACTCGCTGTAGTAGTTGTTTCGATTCCTTAAGAGGGGCTCGCACTGCGTTACAGGTTGTGTATGACTTCGGCCCAAGCGCCAAATCTTTCTCACACCACTTTTGAGACGAGAGAAATTGTCAAACTGTCCAAATTTTGCGTGTCAGTTAAATGGCATTGTGCAGCCAACAAAGTTCTTATTATTGGGAGAATCAGCCGTGTCAGTAGACAGGTTGCAAGCAAGCAGGTGATCCTAAGGGCCATCGAAAGGTACGGTGTATCCTTGCACTTTCGCCGGAACCGACTGAAAGAGCCTAAGTTTAGGTGAAAAACTACCTTTTGGTGTAAGAAGAGGCTGGATTTGGGATTGGAAGCACCTGAAATAATGAATATTGCATACCCTCCACTGGCTTGATCGCAGCAACTACAATTTTACAAAACAATGACGTTTCTTGGCTGAGATGACCTTTTTTGCCGGAAAAGAACACGATTACATTTTTGTTGCATACTTGGGTTTTCTAGGTAAGGATAGTGTGTATGTATTCCAGACACTGCATGGGACTGACTGGCATATTTACATGCATTGGGGTGGTTGACCTGAGGTCAATGTAGGTATATCAATATTCCAGTCAACACACGAAGTGCTTGGGGTATTTCAAACGTTTTGTTTTGGGATATAGCTGTCCTTCTATTTGGATCTCCTGTCTTCCACTTCTTACGGCCAGGTGGACTTGTGTACCGAGAACTGCCTCTTCCGGGCCGCTGTGCCCTCCGGCGCCTCCACGGGCATCTACGAGGCGAGCCTCGCGACGAGGAGACGATGGATCCGTTTTTCATTTTTCGTGGACGATGAGGACTCTAAAGATGCAGTGGTTCCACAGAAATCTAATACCATTGTACAATGGTCTCAGATGTGAGTAAATTGGCACAGGCACCCCCAAGATGTCTTTGAGATGGGAGTCCATATACACCACTGAACGTGGGGATTTTGCCATCATCTCTGAAACCACTGTAGACCCTCCAAGTACCTCACCAAAAATTGTACTGTGGATGACCTGTTTACTTTTGTTTAATGGCGTAATGTTCCATCTTCAAGGGTGCTTTGGAGGAAAGGAGTTGTCAATGGAGGATAGGGGTGCACAGAACATCCACATGCTTGGGTTCCAAAAACCACTCCTTTTGAACGGTACCGAAAACTAGCATTCTTTGTGTCCAAATTCATCTAAGGGCTGGGAAGGGCAAATAGGTCACCAAGGAAGCGAGAGATCTGCAAGCTGTTTAGTGTGTGTTTGACCAAAAAGAACAGGAACACGTCGAAAACGTCCGAGGAAAACGTTGGAACATGGAAGTGGAGTGAGTGAGTGAAAACCACCTGTTTGATCTTCGGATACAGTCATCCATTCAGGGTCATGCCATCCACGGATGGTTTCAGGCGGTGTACATGGCCATAGCAAGTGATGCATTGCCTCGGAATATGTCGCGATGTTTGGGTTTGTGGTGCTTGGTTCACTGAAAAGCAGCCATGAAAGCGGACATGAAAGCACAGAACCTTCCAAGCAAAGATACCCGACATCCGGTGCCATTCGATGCCTTCCTGATTCAGGCCATCACAGCTAGTTTGATGTATCCCATGTATGGCATCCCAATGTATAGATCAATATGCCATTCATGGATGGTCTGCGTATAGGTCATATCTAGGTGGCACGGAATCGAAATGCAGTGGACATGTATGATTTAATCCTGGAAATGCGGATTTGAATGTTGGGAAAGCCGCATTTGGCGGTATTTGAATCCTACCCTACCCTACAAACGACCGCATGTATTGATAACTGATGGTTGTTCCTGGAGGATGAATTGAGTACAGCTAGGCTAGGCATCCATGTTCAGGGAGTTGTTTGTTTTCAGGACCTTCTACCTGGTAGACCACCCATGTTCAAAACCATCGAAGCTTGGAGGACTTTGTCCTTGACTTGCTCTTTGTTTCTGCTTTTTGTGGGGTGTTGGATTGTGAGGTCGCTTTGGATGCCTACATGTTAGTGATCAGAAAATTGCACAAGGTTGAGCTGAAAGCACAAACAAACAAACACACAAAAAGACAACACATGCCGCCTATGCCTATAAATGAGAGGATATGAGGAGTGTCTTTTTCTGGATCATCCTGAATGGATGGGACTCCCAACGAGTTCGTGGCTCCGACACTGCAAGGCCTTGGAGCTCCGAGATGCAGACAAAAACCGCTTGCTGGGCAAAGGTGCGGCCCTGCGATGCCGTTTCGGAGCGGAGCGGAGCATCGGAGCAGACGCGGGGGGGGTTGGGGGAGTGGGCGGCTTTTGGTTTCACCTCGAGTCGGTGGAGGTGGATGTTTCAATCACTGGATTTGTGTGAAATATACATTGACATATTAAAATCACTTAAGGTATAATGACACACATGGAGAATAGAGTGTTTGGTATTGAACATAGGGAGACCCCCAACGATCTCGCCCCGGTCGCTGGGGCGGGTCGATGGTTCCCTTTCGACGACACCTGGGTTCGGTCTCCCGAGCTGGACGACGACACCGAACCGCTTGATTCAAGGTGTCTTGGTATGAAGCTTGAAAGATCCCTTTTCCAAAACCCCCGGCTCTAAAGGGAAGCTACTAGTACTAGTAGCTAGAAGCTACGCCATGGCTATTGGGTTGGAGATCATTACTAGTAGTAGCTAGAAGCTACTAGGTGGAGGC